GCAGACATATCTCTTTTTTGAATTTTTTTAGCACCATAAATATAACCAATCCAAAATGCACAAAATACAAAGAAGAAGAGTAATCCAGTAGAACCTCCAGTTTCATGTGAAGCTCTAATACCAACATGAAGAGAATGACGTAATGTTTGAAGATATTGATGAATTCTTGATTTTTCAATACCAAGAGCAGCAACAGTTCTCATATTAGAAATAGTTTCTGAAGCAATACCTCCTGCAACTGAATAAGATGCTTGAGTAGATGATGCTGTTCTTGTTTGAACATAAGCAAAAATACCAGCAGCACCAACCATGAAAGGAGCAACAGATATCATAACAAAACATAATTTCCATTCTTTAACAAACCCAATAACATATCCAGTAATACACATTCCAAAATAAGAAAAGAATTCACCTACTTTTTGACCAATGGCATCATGTAATAAGAAAATATCACCTGACATTCTAGATGTCATTTCTCCACTATTATGAGCATCATACCAACCCATTTCTTGATCAAGTAATGATTTAATATATAATCTTCTAATTCTTCTAATTTGATTTCCACCAGTAATATCAAAAATAATTGTTCTAATTAATGAAGTAAAGAATAATCCAATTCCAATATACATAAATTTTAATGAAGTTTTATTACATAAATTTTCAATTTCAGCAACATCATATGCAAGTGGATTAAATGCTTTAGAATCAAATACATCACCAATAAGAATTGCAATCAATGGATATAAAACACCATCACAAAGAGATATTAAGACACCAATAATATTAAAAATTATTTCAATCCATGTTGCATATTTAAACATCATAAAAATACTCACAGAACCTTTGTCTGTAGTTCTAGGTGCTGCTGCCATTAAATTATTTGGATCAGGAGTGACATCAAAGATATCAAATCCATCAGTAAGTAATTGCATTTCAACACCTGGGTTAGAGGGAGTATTTACAGACGTAGACATTGATTAATTAGATTGAAACAATTTTGAATTATTTATAGTTAGCATAAAAGAAAACTATCTGAAATTCACTCGAAATTCACTCGACTACAACTCGAATTTTATAGAAGATTTTTTAATTAGAAGAAGTTTTAGGTAAAGTCACTCTTAAAAAAGTTATATTTAGGATTTAGTGATACAAAAATTGGAGTATCAATGATAATATCTACAATTGATAACTTCTTTTATCTTTTTTTTGTTAGTAAAGAGAAGTATAGAATAAGAAATAAAAGGTTTTATTATCAATTCTAGGAAAAGTTCAGAAAATAAAAAAGAAATATAAAATGAATTTGATAGGAATAGGTAAGAGAGAAAAATGAAATGCCTGATAACTTTTCAATTTAACTTTAATAAAAACAACACGTTGTTTTAATTCGAGTTATTTTTTCTAACAAAAAATGTTAAATAGTTTTTGTTATTTTTTTCTAGGTAGTTTTTAAGAAGGAAAATTTATAAATTGTTTTTTAATTTTTAATTATTAAAAATGTTTATTTGTTTAAAGCCATTTAAAAATTAAGAGAAAACATGAAATTCCTTTTAATTAATTGAAATGCCGAAAACAGATAATAATGAAGGGTCATTCCGTTGTAAAGTTATTTGGATATCACTTGAAAACAACCCACAAAGATAGTCATTTACTCTATTTCCTTTGGAAATGAAATTATCAATATTGAGAATTTCAATTCCTTTATAAAATACTCGTTGAATACGTTCTAATCTAAATGTTTTTTGACTATGACGTGCCATTTTAGAATCAAAGAAAAATCCAAATTCTAATAAGATATCTATCAATAAATTTTGCATAAATACCTTTTTATTTTTTTCAAACCTTCTTTGAGCTGTTTGTATTTTTTTTACATTTTCACATTGTTTTTCAAATAATGGATGACAAACCATATTAGTAAAATCAATAATTTCTACATTTTCATCTTTTAAATGTAATGTTTTTACTCTTGGAAATACTTGTGTTAATTTAGCATTCTTTCTTGGTTTTTTTAATGTTATTCCAAAACATTGATTTGCCAATGCAATTAAAACTCCTTGTTGTATGGCATAAAAATCTTTATAATGTTTTACACCAAATAGAAATGGTTTAGTATGTGTCATTTTAGAAGATGATCCTTTTTTTTTAGATGATTTATGGCGTGAAACTATTCCTTCCATTATATTTTATGAATCTTATTTCTAGTTCATAAGTTCTATTTAAGTTCAGAACTTTTCGGTGGAAGTTGTTTAAATTCAATTTTTCAAATTAGAAAATTGAATCTGTTAAATTCAACATTTATTCAAACTATAAAAAAAAACATTTTATAAAATTCGAATTTATTTATATTACAGTTTCAATTTTCTGTGTTTGTTGGGTATTGAACTTTTTATATAATTCATATAATTTTTTATATCTAGTTGTTATTTCAAGACTTATCATTAATTTTCTTGTTTTATTTTATCAATAACCAAAATAATCAAAATTGTTTCTTCTAATTCTTTTCTTTGTTGAACTATTTTTTTTTAGTTTATCTCAAATCACTCAACGCACAAGTTTTGACGGTTTGTTATGCAAGTCTGATTCTTCATTGACAAAATTATGAAACGATAGTATTGTTATAAAAAACGAAAATGGAAAAATCTAAACAATTTGTTTTATAATGAAAAACAAAAAGAAATATAAACCAATTTAATAAAAAAATTAATTATCATAAAAAAATTAAACTATGAAAAAACTATGAAAATTCATACAATGGATCTTGCACAGTTCAGTCTTAAAATATTTCAAGTTCTTCGTAGAGGACCAATAAAAAGAGAACCTAAAGACTTTGAAGAATACCAACATGCATACAGTATGTATGAGTCATTAAAATCAAACCCAGAAAATTTTTGTACAATACATGTGATACAAATGAATAATAATGACCCTGGTATCCGTCAAATGGTTATGTCATTATTTGCTAGTAAAATGTTTGAATCGAATAACACATTGTATCTGAGGTTATCACCTAGTTATAGAGACTCATTAAATACCAAATTGTTAGATAAAATGGCAAATGAAAATATGAATAATGTTTTACATCAATATGTTAATGTATTTGAAAAAATGTATAATATTTGTATTATTAATTCTATTCCATTTCCTCAATTTTTACCTTCAATATTTCATATGTATATTCAAGGAGACAGAGAACATCGAAATTATACTTTAAATTTATTGGAAAAGATAATTGTTTCAATACCACCAAATGATATGAAAAATGTATTTGATGTTATTGTTAATATAATTAATCAAACAATTAATTCTAATGATGGTGATCTCATGTCTAATGCAATGAGTATTATTAAAGAATTAATACAATATGCCAACGATAATAATATGTTTCTTGATAAAGCAATTCCATTATATCCAATACTTCATCAAGTAACTCTCACAATTATCAAAAATACTTCCTTTTATAGTTTATGGGTTTATGTATTTGAAATTGAACAACAAGTATTTAATGTTTATATACCTCAATTAGCCCAATTTATTCCAACAACAATAAAACTTGCTTTAGATGTTTGTAATGTAGATGAAGATGAATATTATGATACAGATGTCCATAATATTGCAATGGAATTAGTGGTTACTATCTTTGAAATTTATTATAAAGAAATGAAAAATGCTCAAGACCTTCAAAAATATACGTTCGAAACTTTAATGAAATGGCTTTGTGATGTTGATGATATCCAAGAATGGTATACTAATGAAGATGAACTTGAAGATAGCCCTTATTATTTTCAGGCAGAAGAAGTTATTGAACGAATTACTCACATGATTGGTGCATCAAATTTTGTTAATTTCCTTATTCAACACAGATCTTTATTAAACTCAAATGATTGGAAACAAAGACTAGCATTTTTAACTGCATTAAATGCAGCAATCAATTCAAAAAAAAGTTCTATATCAAAAGCAGCTATAGACCTTTGTCGTTTAGTCTTTCCACTTTCAAGAGATAAAAACCCAAGAGTAAGAAATCAAGTTCTCATATTTAGTAATAGAATATTTAAATTATATCCAAATACCCAAGAAAATATTGCTGATGGTGTCTTACAAATTATTGGTACTGGAATTGCTGATGAAATTCCTCGAAACCAATCAAAAGCATGTGACCTTGCAACGTCTCTAATTTCATCTTTAACATTACAACAACTCTCTCCATATTTAAATAACTTTATTAAAGTGATTGCACCTTTAATTGAAAGTGATGATCCTGGGGTTGTTGCTGAAGCATTATGTTCTTTATCTAACATTATCGTAAAAATGAAAGTTGGTGTAGATGATTTTTTTGTACAAATTATTCCAATATTACAACGTGTATTAGAAAAAACTTCTGATTATACTGACTTATTTGAAGTTAAAGGAAGAATTATTGAAATGATATCTATTATTGCAACTAAATTAAATGATAAATATATTGGATCATGTACTCAAATTATTATAAATGAAATTAAAAGAGTAATGAATATTCCTAATCTTGAAATATCTGATCCATTGTTTGGATATATAGAAACATCATTTACTCGGTTAGCCGATTTATTAAAAGATCAATGTGCTCCAATGTTACCAACAATGATACCAATTATTTTAAAACGTGTAAATTTAAATATTGTTTCACAGTATGAATATTATGAAACCCAAAAAGTTTATTGTGGTGATGAAGTACTGAATGTTTATATTGAAGAAGCAGAAGAAAAAGTTAATGCTATAATTTCTATTGCAGATTTATCAACTAGTCTTAAAAATATTTTCTTCCCTTATGTTGAACAATGTCTTTCTAGCGTTATTCCTTTAATTGGATTAAAAGCTTATCAAAGAGTTAGGATTGCTGCTGTAAGATGTTCAGTCAGTTTAATTGGTTCATTTATTAGTGGAAAGGAAAAAGAAACAGGAGATGTACAACAAGCAATGAATGCATTAACTCATTATTGTTCAGAAGTTATTAATGCTATTATTCAAAATTTAACAAATGAAACAGATATTGAAGTTATTAGTGAACAAATACTTGGACTACAACGTATTATTGAAATTAATAGAATTCCTTTAGGAAAACAACAAATAAATTCAATATTTGAAGTATTAAAGAGATTACTTGTCAATTATATCCAACAATCAGAAATAAATGATAATAATCCAAAAGATGAAGATTCTGATGAAGAAAATGATGAAGAAGGTACTTTTTGTTTTAATTATCGTTCATTATTACAAACACTGGCAACATCTATGCTTCAATTTTTCCTTGAAGAATTCCAAAATATCTTATTACCAATACTAAAAGCTTCACTTACAACAAATGGTGTTTCTTTAAAAGTTATTGGGTTTGTTGCTTCAATTTTTTCAACTGTTATTTTATTTGCTAATCAAACTTCATTTATTGAAAATATTATTGGAATTATTATTAAATTGGCATCAACAAAAGAAGTTGAAATTCTTAATCAATGTATGGAAAATATTTTACTTCTTGTTCAAGTTCCATGTATTCAACCTTATCTTCAACAAATATTAGACATTATTAAAATTGGTTTAGGATTAAAAGAAGAAAGTGAAATGTTATACAACACTTCTGTAATGACTCTTGGTAAATGCATTTGTTATAATCTTCAAGCATTTAACAAAGAAATTGTATTGTCATGGTTTTCTTTTCTTCCAATAGACTCATATCCAGATGACATTCTTTCTTTTCTTTTTACTATTTTTGCTCAGTTTGTTTTTTTTTTGATTTATTCCTCATCACCTAATCTCATTATGTAGTTCTCAACTTATTCCATTAACAAAAGAAACAATTACAAAAACTCTTTTAATTCTTATTAATTGTTTAGCTTCTAAAGACTCAAATCAAATTCGTTCTGTAACAAAAGATTTAGTTACAGAACAACTTAAATTATGGTTCCAAAATAATAGTGCATTAATTGAACCAATTTGGGAACAAACAAATCAACAACAAAAAGAGTTATTGAATGAACTATTACAATGAACATACTTAATTATTCTTTTTTTAGTTAATTATAGTTTAGTCTAATTTTCATCCTTGTATTTTAATTCAATTACATAATGGATGGTTGTGAATAATTTTTTTCAATTGTTTCTAGTAAGTCAATTTGGTTTGTTGATGACATTTGTTGTTCATAATTTTCAGTTATTTTCATAATATCAAATGATGTTATTCCTTCTATTACTTCTCCATTAAATAAATGTAAACGATGCCAGAAAATAATAATATTAATTGTTGGTACATGAGGTGGAATACAACAAAATTCACAAGGATAATGAGTGTCTAATATTGTAGGATGAATAGTCATTGGAAGGACTGTTGGAGCTAGTACCTTATCAATTACTAAAGGGATTTTACATTTATTATTTAATGAGAAATGAAGAATATCAGGAGATCCTTCTTTTGAAATAAATTCATGTCGATGACTAAATGGTTTATGAACATCAAAAATAACTTCTTTGTCAATACTCATTACTTTATTAATACCAGAATAATGTATAATAATAATAACAGAAATTCTTCCTGTTTTACTAAATTGTAAATAAGAGATGTTATTTGTTTTTTGATTAACTCCAATATTTGGAAATGATATAACTTTCTTTGGTTCATCTGAACATGTATCTGATGTAAGAATAACATCATCATTTTTAGTTGATAACATTACATTTGTAAGTGTATAATGTTCTTCATTTAATATATCAATAATAATGGGTAATTTTTCACCAACTATAGCAGGAGTAACAGTTTCAATTGATAATTTAATTGAAGGACTTCTTTGAATGACATGAAGATGAGTTAATGGTTTAAAATCAGGAATAATTCTTTGAATTTCAAAAAATTTAAGAATAGAGTCTTTACTATTTTTTAATTCATTTTCAGTTTTTGTTATTAATAAAGGTTTTTTATCAGATAAATAAATATTTATTTGTTGTATATTAACATTTCCAAGTCTTTTAGGAATAAAAGGAATTGAAATCTTTAAATTTCCATTTAATTTTTGAGGTAGTTTAATTGAATGAGAAGGTAAATTAATAGAATAATTATTATCATCACAAAGTACTTCAATTCTATATAATGGTAATGAAGGTAAACGATTAATAATATCTAAATTAATTGAAGTTGATTCACCAATAATACAACAAGGAGTTGCAAAAGAAACAAAACAAGAAAGTAAAGGAGTTTTAATGATATGTTTATTTAAAGGAATTTCCGTTTGATTAAGAGTATTTAAAATATCAATAATAAAAGTATTATTATTAGCATTTTCATCTTTTAATTCAAATGGTAAAGTTTGATCAAATTTTTTCCATTGATCAAATAAAGAAAATAATGAATCAATAAAATAATACAAACCATTTTGAGGAAATTTAATTTCATTAAATACTTTAAGAATAGTATCATCATTCCACCATTGAATTCTATTATCTTTTAAAGAAGGTTTATTAAGAAGTAATAATGTAATTTTTTTAGTAATATAAATCAAAATTTTTTTATGTTTTAAAGAGTCATGAATTTTAAATAAAGTATAAAAATGTTGTTTTAAAGCATAACCAAAGAGATATTCTGGATTACATTTTGAAGGTAAATATTTAGAAAATTCAGGAATTAAATTTGAATAAAATAATTTTTTATTTGTATAATATGCTTGTGACATATAAACAGATGATGAAAATGAATAATATATTGAATCATTTTCATTTATTTTACTTCTTTCATAAATTAATGCTAATAATTGATATTGTTTTGCAATCCAATAATAATGTGTACTTAAAAATTCATCAATTCCAATATACTTTAAACATGTTTTAATAAATCTATTAAAAAATTCTACCATTTCTTTAAATTGATTTAATTTTTCAAATAAATGAAACATTCTAAACATTATCCAACTAATAAACTCTTTTGTTGCAAGAACATTTGAAGATTTATAAAATCTTTGTTCTTCAACTTTTAATAATTCAACAGCAGAATCATAAGCTTTTGAATATAATTTAATTGATATTTTTATATTTTCATTTTTATTTTCCTTAACTTCAGAAATAAAAGCAGCTTTAAAATATGAAATTGCTGCTTTCCAAGGTAATTTTGTTATTTGAGCTTTATTTTTTAAAATAGATTCTATTTCATTATAATGTTGTTTTGATAATTCTTTAATAACATTTGTTAATGATATCATTGAATTCTTTATATCACTTAAATTAAAAAAATATATTCCATCTAATTCTGTTCTTTTTCTAAAAGAATTAAAACTATCAGATGTAACAATTACTTGTGGTGAATGTGTAATAATTACTATAACTAATTTAATTTGTCTTGTTAATAAATCATTTCTAATCATTTCTATTTGTGGTACAACATCATGATCTGGACTAAACAATGTCTCTGATGTCTCAAACATTACAATAACACTTGGTGTATTATGTCTAACTTTATTTAACCATTCAGCACGAACAAATGTTTGATCTGGTTGAAGAAATTCATAAATATCATCTCTTTTTTGTTGTTTTCTTAATGGTAAATATTCTTTCTTTGTAACGTAAGGAACAATTTTTCTTTCTCCATTATTACCTTCTTCTTTAAATAAATTCTGTTTTATTCCTTGAGGTAAATATTCACTTCCAATTAATCCAACAATGAGATATGGATCTTGTGAAAGTTCAGGTGGATATTCATTAATAAGACTTTTTTCTTCATCAAGAATAGTTGTAGTAATGTTCATAAATGAAATTTTATTTGTAATAAGTTTTTAAAATTTAAACTATTATTTTATTTTATTTTATTTCCTTTTTTTGTTTTTAAATTCTTCAATTTTAAGAAAAATAAATAAAATCAATAAACAATTATAATTTATACTATAAATCTTATTATAAATTATTTAATTAAAAAAACTAAAACAAAATTAAAAAAAAAAAGAAAAATAAATTAAAGGTGGACTAAAAATTCAAAAACAGATGGCAAGAGTCATTGAAATTGCTCCAAGTAGTATCTGTTGTCCAGTTATTGTTTGTTTTAAAACTTTTAATAAATCAAAATACAAAAATCAATAAAATAGCCTGATGTTAAAAAATATGTTCAAGAAAAAGGTGGAATGCAACAAGCAATACAATCAATTGAAGATACTTACAAAAATCTAAAATTTTTCCTTGATGTTGTTTCACAAAGAAAAACGACTTTAATAGAGAAAGTTGATGAAACACAATCAACTTTAAAATACGTTATTTTACTTGAAGAAAAAACTAATGATCAAGTTAAAACAAAATTCGAAATTTCTAATGGATTATATTTACCAGTTACTATTAATAAACCAAAAACTGTCAATTTATGGATTGGAGTTTGTTTTTTATTTATCAAATTCTATTTAATTAATATTCATTATTTAATGTTATTAGGCAAACGTTATGATGGAATATTCATTTGATGAAGCAAAGAAAATGCTCAATGAAAATATTAAAACAACACAAGACCATATTGAAAAGTTAGAAAATGATAGAAAACATCTTACTACAGAAATTTCAAAGATGGAAGATTTGATTAAACAAATCGTTGATGCAAGTATTGCCCTTCAAAAGAAATAAAAAGATTTTTTTTAATTGACTTTTTTTTATTTCATTTATTTTTTTTTATAAAGAAATATAAAGTTTTTCTTTTTATTAAAAATTATCAATTAAGAACACTTCGGTCTAAAAAATCTAACCATGCTCTATCATCCTGAAGATTATAACACTCATCTCGTATAATAGAACTTATTGAACTAAGAACATGTTTGGCTTGTTGTATATCTTCTAATTCTACAACTAATGGTATTGACCTTCCATATTTTTTTAAAGTAATTGTTTTTTGGGATAAACTAACATCAACATCATTTGCAATTGGTAAAGTATCAATAATAATCCATTTATCTGATCTTCCTTGTTTTTGAACAAGAATAATCATATCATTAAATACATGAAGTTTTGTTTTCTTTTTATTAATTACTGAACATGACCAAATTAAATATCTGTTTTTCACAAATAAATTATCCATATTTAATTCATTTGCAAGATCAGCTAATGCATCTCTCATCTTTGATCTCTCATTAGCTAATGTACAGAAGAAATGATATTCTTTAAGTGCTTTCTTTAAATATGGATAATCTGGATGATTATGTGGTGTTTGTTTAATAACTTCTTTAATTAACATTGGGTATCTCATAATTCTTTGAACTGGTTGAACCAATAATAAGTCTAATGGTTCTATTTTCAAATTTTCTGAAGTAGATGCTAGTTTAACAACTTTTTGAAAATTAGGATTTTTTTGTTGAGACTTCCAAGTATTTAATGCAATATTATAATCAGTGGTAAATGAAAGATATGGAGTAATATATGTAATTAATAAACTTAATAAATCTCCAATACATGTATCTGCATGAAACGGTAGAATCCTTTTTTTTAATTCATCAACAAAAATTGTAGATGACTGAATACATTGAGGAAGTGTAAGAAATATTTTATTAATAATATTACTACTTACTCCAAGTGCCATTAATGGATGCATAAAATTTTCTTCCATTAATTTCATTTTAGTTAATAAACTTACTTCAGTTTCATATAATTCATTAATAGCTGCTTTTCTTATTTTAATTTTATTAAAGTTATATTTCTTTCTTATGAGGTGTGAACGAGAAAATGATTGAATTTTTAGTAGAGCTTTTTCTTGTTCTTCATTTAATTCATATACTTTATTTTGATATTCATCACTTAAATCAAACTTTTTTGTTTTTCTCATTGATTTACTAAATTTTTGGTTTTCTAAATTACTAATACTCATACGACATAATTTTAATGCTTTCTTTTGTTTCTTTTGTTCATCTTCTTCAGAGTCTTTCATTTGGTCTTCATAACTATCTAGAGGTGGTGTTACACTTAATGATTTTAATGAGGTTTCTCTATTACTATTTTTTGTTCGTTTAATTTCATGTTCAACTCGAGGAGTGGATGGTGCACTATCTGATACCATAAAAGAGTTTGAAAAGTTTCTTACTTTCTCTTTTGATGTTTTAATAATTTTTTCAATCCTATCTAATCTCTCTGTTTGTTTTGATAAATCAGTTTTCTCATTAGACTTTTCAGGTGATTTTTCAAAACTAGAAGTTCGTGGAGATGTTGTTTCAGGAGATGACTCATGTAAGCGTGTTTTAACTTCTTTAGGTGATTTCTGTGAGACTATTTTATCATTATCAGATTTATCAGATGGAGATGACTTTACATTATGAGGTGATTGAGAATGAGATTCATCAATATCTTTTACCTTTGATGAACTGATAATTGTTGAACTTGAATGTTTTGAACGAGTTGAATTACGTGGTGGTAATTCTAACCATTCAGAAAATGAATAAATAACATCGTCTAATGGAGATACTTCAACTGAACTACGAAATATTTCAGCGTCTTGCTTTGAATTAAACAACATCATAGAATTCAATGTCTCTCTAGTCATGCATTGAACAATTCCAGAGGCAAGTATTTTTTTATTTTTTGTTTCATCATCATGAGTATTATTAACAGCAAAATGTTTTATTCCATATTCTAATGCATTTTCAATAGAAACTCCAAATTTGATTAATGAACATGAAACAAAAACTGCCTTCATTAGTCCTTCTTTTTTGATACAAACACTCCTTCCTAAGAGGTATTCCATATATACATGAAATGATTTTATTAGTAAGGAGTCTAACGTAATTGGAATTTTCTTTTCAGAGTCATTTTTCCCAAGATACATTCCAATCATTCCTTCATATATAACTCCACGATGAAGTTCAAATCTCCACCTCCCATTTACCTCAAGAATAACACCTTTTCTTTCAAAAGTAGATTTGACAAGTTTATCTTGACGTTCTTTTGGAGTTAAACTTTTCATATAAATATTAAGTTTTTGAAAGAATAACAGAAATATCAGTAATTTTTTTTTATGAAAAATAAAAAACCATAAAGAAAAAATATTGACGTTACTTAGATATTTGGAATTGTTCCTTTTTGAACTCGTCTACTCAAGAATAATAAAAATTCATCTCTTGTTGGTTCAAAACCATATTTTTTTATAAATCTCCTTTTCATCTTTTCATTATATTCTTTTATTTCATCAATACTCATTTCCTTCCAATTTTCTTCTATTTGTGGATGTTTTTCTATAAGATCAATTGGTAAGTCAGTTTTTTCAACTTTCCATTTTTCATGTGCAAAACTATTTAATGTAATAACTTCTTCTACTGAAACTTTCTTAAATATTGGGTTTAATAAAGATAATGCAAAATCTATTTGTTGTTGATCTGCTTTACCATCAAGAAATACAAATGGAAGATAATATTCTTTAGTTTTTACTTCATCACGGACTTTATTTTTATTAATAAAAATAGCTTTTTGATATAATGCTTTCATGAAACAATTTGCTGTATCTGAATTGATAAATTTCATTCTGTGAAGAGTTTGTACAATAACAAAATGAACATAATGTTTTCTAACTTTTTCATTAATTGGATATTCTAACATTTCTAATACATCAAAAATTACTGGCATATGATTTAAATGCAAAATAAATGGATTATTTGCTGGTGGTATCTTTGATAAACATGAATGTGCAATAAACCAAAGAGAAACATCTGCTCTTAATGGTATACAAATTTGTGATACATTTCCACTCATACTAGCATTTGATTGACTATTTTGTAACATTTGAATTATTACTTTTTTTAACGTTAATAAAATATTTTCATATGCTGAAATGTTTTTAATAATTTCATAAATTGCAATAAGATATGAACTTGGTGCTCCAAGTAATTTTCCATCAGTAAACATACGAGCAATTGTGCTTTTTGTAATTTCTAAACATTGTTTTTGACTTGATAATATAATAGCTCCAATGACTGGTTTTCCTGTTATTGGAGATTCTAATAATTGATTTTCTTTCACTGACTTTAAACTAACAAATCCCCCTAATGAGTTAATAACACTTTGTTTAATTGCTGGATAATTAATAAGATTAAATGGACAACTAATAATTTCATTCGTTACATTCTTTGCAACTCCATTTAATAATTTAGAACCAGTAACTAATAATACAGGTACATCTTCTTCTCCATTTAACTGACATTCAATTAATTCTTTCATAATAATTTTTGAAGTTTCTTCAATACCTTCATCAGTAACTGTATCAAGATTTGCATTCTTTACTTGTTTAGCCCTTTTATCTCTATTAGAACGAATTCCTTGTTTATTAAATCCATTAACTTTATTAACTCCACAAAGTTCAATCAATTTATCAATTTTTTCTTCAATTGTTAATTCTTGAGAAGATGAATTAACTGAGTCATAATATTTTTTAACGATATTATCGATTTCTCTAGTTGCTGTAATAAAATCAGCTTCATTAATACATTGAATTAAGATTTTTTCAGAATTTCCTTTATTCATTTGACCATATTCATAAACTAATCGAGACTTTTCTTTCATAAGAATATTTTTAATACTTTCATTATTATACATAGTACGTGTTTTATCTAAATTTGAATATCCAAATAAATAAGGTTTGGTAATATAATTATATATTCTATCAAAATTCTCTAAAAATTCTTTAACTGTCATCTTTTCTATTCCTAAAAATGTGCTTCGTTCATCTTCTTCAGTTTCCATTATTAGTTTAGTACCTTCACTTGTTACTGAATATACTTTACTTCCACTTTGAATAATAAATGGTGCTATAACATCACTATTTTCATTTTCTCCAATTATGTAAACGTTTGAACTATGAATTTTACCATGTTGTTGCATTTCAAGTTTAGCTTGTTCCACAGATGTTCCTTGTCCATCAGTTACAATAACTAAATCATCTTTAAAAGAAGTGTTATGAATATAACGAGAAATATTTGTCATACAATGTCCTCCACAATCTCCTCTTTTTCTTTGAATCATTCCATTTAATTGAATTCTATCAATTTCAATGTAATTATCACTATAAGCTATTATTTTAACATTATCAACTCCATACTTTGCAACTAAATCTTGGTATAAATTATTAACTGAATTCCAGTAAAATTCGTTATTAGTAACTGATGCAGAATCTGTGAAAGCAAATAAAACTGTGTTAGAAATTGACATTTTATAATTATAAGTTCTTGATTTTAAGTTTAAATAGTAAATTTTCAAAGAATGAAAAATGAATTAATTCTTAAATTATTTTTTTTTTGTTTAGAAAAATATATTTTTCTCTTTTATAATAAAAAAAAATAAAATCTAAAAATATTAAAATAAAAAAATAAAAACTAAAAATATTCTATGGAAAAAGCTCAACAACACATTAAACGTATTTCTCCCTTTATTAATGATATTGTTAACTCATTTATTACTAAAGAATCTTTTGATAATTATTTTAATTTTATTCAAGATGACTCTATTAGACATGATATTTTTTTAAGACATAAATATCAACTTAAACACATGTTATACATTAAGTTTTTAGAAAATCCAGAATTATTGGATAAAATTGAAAAAGCAATTTATTATAGAAAAGTCCAAAACAAAATTCAACAAAAATTATCTGTTCTTGCAGCGTTTGTTATTATTGTTATTTGTGTATATTCTTATTTCTTATCATTTATATAGTGAAGTTAATAAACCACTTCCATCTGATAGAGTACATCAAATGTGTGAAGATTCATTGCTTGTACCTGAAAAGAAAATGGAAGAAGAAGGAAATAATAAAAATGATGATGAAATTTATACGTTACTTTCAGATATTTTACAATCATCTGAAAGTGTTAATTCATCAATTATATCAATATATAAACCAGAAGATCCTGATGATATTTTATATTGATTGTTTTCTTATCTAATAAAATATATTTCAAAGAATAATAAATAAATTAATTGATAAATGAAAATGGTTGATACGATAAATAAGGAGTATGTTCTTTAATTTGATGACAAGTAGAGGAATAATAACGTATTTCACCTCGTTGAGGTATAGTACTACAACTTGCAAAAAATGTTTTAGTTCCATTGGTTATTGTAAACAATTGAATACCTTTAAAATTAAGTTCATTGTTGTCTTCTGGCAATATTCCTATAAATCCATTACCTCTATCACTAAATTGAATCAAAAACCCATTCTCTTTTAAAACAAAAGTGAATGGAACTAAACTTCCAACAAAAACATTACTTTTTCCAAGAATAACTCTCATAGTTTTAGCTTCAATTACTTTAACTTCATAATAACCAAATGGAATAGTAAATATGAATGAAAATATAGGATTTCTTATCTTTTCAGTGTATGTTGATTTTTTATTTCCTCTTAGATGAATTAATAACATGATATCATTAAGATCACACTTTCCTTTAACAATTATTGAATTGTTATTAACATCAACTTGTAAAAAATTATCAGAAATGGTTTGTTCTAATGACTCATTGATCATCTTCTTTTCAACTTCGAGTTTATCTAAGTCAGATATATCTTGTTGAAACATAGAAATTCGTGAATTATAGTTTTGAAGGAACCGAGGATAATTGACATTATAACTGTCTAAAGTCATTCTGATTTTTTGAGATGAACGTTTAAAGTGTAAAAACAATACTTAAAAGAAAGTGATAAAAATTAACTTTTCAAAAAATAACAAATTACTAAACCATTAAAGTAACAAAAATTATAACCAAAAGTTCAGAATGTTTATCATTAAAACTATCACAACATACTTAATTAAGCGTGTGGTTTTTGTTTCTTGTTAGTCCAGAGACCCCAGAGGGAAACACCAGCAACACAGACAACTTTGAATCTAACACCTGGAATATCTCCGACAGCGTGTCCTCTTCTACCAAAACCAGAAATTAAAACTTCATCGTTTTCATTAACATAATTAAGTGAACCATCACGTGGAACAAAAGCAGTGATTTTTTTACCGTTTTTCAATAATCTAACTCTGACACACTTTCTAATACCTGAGTTTGGTTGTTTGGTTTCAATACCAAGTTTTTCTTGAACAAGTCCTTTGGCATGTGAAGCAGTTCCAAGTGGATTACACTTATATCTGGTTACAAGTTTTCCTTTTTTCCATTCTTTATCAGCCCATTTATTGGCTCTTCTTTGAGCAAGCATTTTACGAGCAGCATGAAGACCTCTAGCCATTACTCTGGACTTAATACTTTTAAGTTCTAGGTTTTCTTTAATTTATTTTTTATTATTTAAAAATTATTATATTCTATATTTTATTTCCTCTAAAGGTTTAAACAATAACACGATTTTTATTGTTTTATATATCAAAATTATTTTCAACAAAATAAAAAAATAGAATAGGGTTTTTTAAAATAAATTCAATCAAAAGACTTATAATTATAAATAGAATTGAAATAAAAAAGAAACGGATGAAGGAAGAACCCAAAAGAAGAAAGAAGAAATCAGTGGAATCTAGAGGTTCGAAAAAAAAAGAAACTCAGAAAAAAATAATCTGAACTCTAAAATGTTAATAAATCAATGAATCCAATAAGAAAGAAGAGAAATCTCTTTAAAATTATCATATTAGGAGATAGTGGGTTTGTGATATTCTTTATTGTTTAATTATGGTTACAAATTAATGATAATAATAATTTTTTAGTGTAGGAAAAACTTCTCTTCTCAATCAGTATGTAACAAAACAATTTTCATCTCAATACAAAGCAACTATTGGTGCTGATTTTATGACAAAAGATATAACAATTAATGACCAACAAATTTCTTTACAAATTTGGGATACTGCTGGTCATGAGAGGTTTGCCTCTTTTGGAACTGCATTTTATAGAGGTGCAGATGTTTGTATGTTAGTTTGTGATGTTACAGTTGCAGAATCATTTGAACATCTTGAAGTTTGGAGAAAGGAATTCATTAGTGGAGGAAATCCTAGTGATCCTGAATCATTCCCTTATGTTGTTATTGCAAACAAAAATGATTGTGAACCAGCTAATCGTGCTGTAAGTTCTGACCAATTAAGGCAATGGTGTGTTACAAATGGATATGAATTTTTTGAATGTTCTGCTAAAACCGGATGGAATGTTGACAGTGCTTTTACTAAAGCTGCTACTCTTGTTGCAATGAGACAAAAAGAGGTTCCACAACCAGAGCCATTGCCAAGTGTCCAAATTGATCTTCAACCAGACAAAACACAATCATCTTGTAGCTGCTAATTTGATTTTTTCACGTATATCTGTCTATTCTATTTATTTTTTTCTCTCTTGATTTCTTTCTTTTAATGACTAAGGAAAGAATGAACTTTGAATTTTAGACAACCCTATTCATGGAATCAACACCAAGAAGAATCTTTGCTATTGGAGACATTCATCTTAACTTTGATTTAGTTACAAAAGCAAAGGAGAAGTATCCTGGATTTGATTCTAATCCTTCTAAAAAGATAGATTATTTGAAAATAACAAAGGACATGACCTTTTGGGGTGATGAATGGAAGAATCATACTGAAGTGCTTCAACAATTTTGGGACAAAAATGTCAATGACAAAGATATTGTCATAATTGCTGGAGATGTTAGTTGGACTAAAAATATAAAGAAAGAAGGTGATAAAGACTTGTTATGGATCCAACAACGTCCAGGAATTAAAATTATTTGCAAAGGAAATCATGACTATTGGTTCAAAAGTCGTACTTCTTTCGTTAAAGAGTTAGAAGAAAAATATGGAATGCATTTCCTGACTGCAGAAAATGAGTATTGTGATGATGATGTAATTATAGGAGGTACAGCACTTTGTGACTTCAATTTCAACGTTTGGCCTCCAATCAATCCTCAAACATTTATCCCTGAACCACTTATTGTTCCTTTTGATGAAGGAAAACAAAAGGAAGAATTAGCAAAATTGGATGTAGCAATTAAGAGAATGACAGAGAGGTGTAAACGAGCAGAACGCCTTAAAATAATTGTTCTTCATCATCCTCCATTTAATGAGAATGGAGACGATTCAGAAATATCCAAAAAAATATGTGAGTTTAATCCTAATTTTTGTATATTTGGTCATATACACACATTACCTAGGTTATATCATTTAGAAGAATATAAAACATTTGATGATATTGTTAATCGTTTTAATGGCTGTCATTGTTGTAAAGGAAATACTTGTTTTCAATTAGTAAGTTCAGATGTACGAAATCATCAATTAGTATTAATCAGAGAAATAGAAAATAGTAAATTATTGAATCAAACGTCTAGAGCAGAGAAGAAGAGAAAAAGAAAAGAACGAATTAAAAAAGAAAAAGAGTTGAATAAAATGAAACAAATAGACAAAAATATTTTATAAAAAAAAGATTACAATCTACACATTTTTGATTGATTTTTGAATGGTTTTAAATTTAAGAAGAAAAATCAATTAATGTAATAAAATACATTTGATATGATAATTCAATGAAAATAATTGTAATAAGATAGTTAAATGAGATTACTTACAAGATTACTTACTAAAGATAAGTCTAAATGAGCAATTGGACAAGTTAATGAGTTTGATTTTTTCCATTGTTCTAAGAATTGGGATTGTTCATCAAATTCTTTAAATGCTTGATTGATATAAATAATATTTTTCTTTTCAGAGTCACTTAATTGCTCTTTATGTTTTTGGATATTTCTTAAAGTTCTTATTTTTTCTTCTATACCAATACAAACTGATCTATATTATTAGTATTAGTATTATTCAATTAAAAAGTAACAAACTGATCATATAATAAATCACCATAAGTATCATATTTATGTATTTCTTCTGGAAGAAGTCCACCATTAATTCTGAAAGAAGGAGCAAGTGTCATTTTCAGATGAATTAATTTAAAAAAGAAAATACGTGCTTGGTAATACCAATGAACAAAGAAATGTTCAAAATTATCCATAATAAAAGTAATAAGCATTACACGATATTTTTTATTAAGAATAGGAAGAAGTTCATAAATCATTGAAAACATAATAGTTAAAGCATAATATGAATCAGATGTAACAATTGCTTGTAATACTTGTATAATACGTTTCATTTCTATATCTTCTATAATAATTTTCTTTTCATTGAGTTCCATAAAGATATGTTGAAAAGATACAACAAATGTTGCTAAACTATCAATAGAATAAGCATTTGTTCTTGATAATCTATCATTAATATATTGATTTAAAATTGTAGGATAATCAGTTACACATAAAAGTGCTTCAGTTTTATAAAACATTTCAACTTCACTAATTTTTGATATTCTTCCATGAGATAAATGAGTAATTAATGAATTAAGAATAGAATATCCAGGAACTGACACAAATTGATCAGAATTATATTCAAAAATTAATAAAAGGTCTTCAAGAAATGATACAAAATAATAATATGAAAATGGTAATCTAGCTGCAAAATGTAACGTCCATTTAGTGTCAACTCCAGAAATTCCATTTGAAAATCTTTGACAACTTTTATTTATATTACAACAATATTTATTAAATGAATCCCATACAGTAATTCTATATAAATTACGACATATTGGAACTTGTTTTGAACCAACAGATTCAAAAATATCTTTTAATATTAGAGGAATACGTAATGATATAGCTGATAATATTTTTGAAACAATTTTATATTGAATTTCTTCTAAAGGTGGTGCAGTTATAACAAATTGGAATGTCGTTAGTTTTTTTACTTTTAATTTATCTTTTTGGTCTTTTATTTCATTAAGAATGTTTGAAGATGATAATGAAGATATTAATAATAATGCACATCTAAAAAGTGCTGAATGATATCCAGTAAACATATTTATCATTCCTGATGTCATACGTTCTGGTGGAAATTCTTCTAAATAATATGGTTGGTATCCTTCAAATATAACAAGCTTATAAATTAATTCATAAACTCTAACTGTATTATCATCATTTTCTGCTCTTAATAAAAAGTCAATAGAACTTTCTAATAAATTAATAAAAGCACATCCAACATCATCTGGTGCAATTTCTTCATGATATGGTTGTTGTGAAAAAATTAATTCCATTGTTTCTAATTGTTGATTTAATTTTATACTTGACTTCTCTGATAACTCTCCTTTTGTTGATTCATTTCTTAATTCCTGAAATAATTTTGAAAACTTTTTTGAAACTTTAATAGCATTCTTATTCCATGTCTTTTTAATAGGTGTATTAGTTGGAGAACGATTCATTTTAATAAACTTCTTTCTTTTAAAGTTAGAACTTGTTTTAATTTTTTACACCCTTTTTTTTTCTTCCTTTCATTTTTGGATTATTTCTTCTTTTCTTTTTTTTTATTCAATAAAAAAAATGTTATTTATCCTTTTTTACAATGATTCAATTCTTTAATTTCTCTTCTTCTTAATTAAAAAAGATATTTAAACAACAAAAACAATATTTGATTATTCTTCAATATATATTGAATTTAGACTCAATCTGGAAGTTTGAGGAGGTATATTATGAGGAATGTGTATTTGTGTTTTTGGTGGAGATTGAAGAGATGTATTATCTCCACTTGCCCATTCAGCAGAATCAAAATATTTTCTTTCTTTCAAAGATTTTTTACGAGCATTTAAAGTACCATAAGAATGAGAAGACTTTTTATCAGACATTAATGAATGAATTATTTTAAGATGAGATTAAATGATCATTTTTCAATTGAGAGATTTGTAAGAGATTGAAAGTTCCTCTTTCATAGTCTTTTTCAATTTTAGAGCTAACAATTTTTATTCAATAATTCTAAGAAATTTGATTTTTGTTTCTTTTAATTCATTTGATTTTACTGTCGTCATAACCATATTCTTATTTTCTTTTTTTTTTATAAACACTCAGAATTAGTAATTTGTTTTCTTATTCTAATACTTCTACTTGTATTAATCATAATGACGTAAGGAACTAATGAACAAAATCAATTAATTTCATTTTCTTCAATAAAATTAGAGTATTAAATGTTATTTTTACTTTATTAGAACAAAGATTTTTAATAAGAATTAATATTGAGATAAATGTTGTTTGAATGTATTTTCATGTATTTTCAAATTTAAAAATACATATTCTACATTTATTTTTACATCAAAATAATGTTTTTTTTTGTGGATTACAAACGATGATTAGATTATAACATTAATATAATTCATAATAAAAAAAAATTTGATACTTCAAAAAGAAAATTTGAATTAATAAGAATAATCTAATTTAGTTAATAATATGATGAATAACAATTATAAACTAGTAAATTTACCTATTTTTAAAGAAAAAAAAAATAAATATTAAAACTATAAAAATTAGTATTGATACTTTTGAGTGAATGATTCACTGGAATTTCACTCATATCTTCACATTACTTTCTGTTCTTACATTTTCTGAAATTATTTTCATAGAATCATATTTTCCTAATGCATTTCATAAAACATATAAACCATTAGAAATTATATCAATGGCAATGGAAAATGAAATGTGTGAACATCATTGTCCATTTCATCCTGCAATTTGTTATTTATTAGGATATCTAGATACAATAGTTGATAATTATTGGATTACAATTATTTGTTTAACACTAATAGGAAAAATATTAAATCAATTACCTCAAGACAAATTCATTATTTGGGTTGTTATTCATATTATTTCATTAATCATTTTTGGGATTGTTATATTTTCATTATTTAATGTTGCATTAACAACACAATGGATTTGTAATATAGTACAATATGTAATGAAACAAATTTTTATTAATGGGAAAAGTAATTATTTATTTTGGAATAAAATAATAGAAGGATTTAATGAAAGTTTAATTAAATCAAAATTTGAAGGTATTTTTGATTTTTTTTATGATGTGATAACTGTTGTTGGTTTAGACAAACCAATTATTTATATTATTTGTGGGTTATCAATGTTATTTAGAAGGTCATATACATTTACAAAACAAATTATATTACCTATTATTATTTTTATAGTATCATGTACTACTTTCTCTTATTTATTGACTAATGGTTTCTTGTATGCTTTATTTGTTAGTTTGATTACATTTGTATTGTTATCAATATTTGTTAGAATATTTTTATTGTCAGCACTATATTTCTTTTTCCCTTTATTTATGTATTCTGCATTTAGTACATCATGTAGAGTTATTCCAATTCTTGAGTTATTTAATGTAAATTATGACTTGATTAATATTGTTACTTTATTAGTTTTTATATGGTTAATGACTTGGATGTATTGTTGGGCAAATTCAAGAGTAAATTTAACTTCAGTTGTTGTAATTTTTATAGGGATATCAAGAATGTTTGATTGTTCAATAGAATATTTAGTATTTTTATTTATGCTTACAGAGTTATTCACCCATCAAATTAACGCTTCAATTTGAGATGATTGTTTAATTGATTTATAAAAGAAAATGACATATTCATTATAGATTTTTTTCTATAATTGAATGAATGGAAACTTCAAAAACACCAAATCTTAAAAATTTATATAATTGAATAATGTCAGGACGGTTAGTTCTTTTTTATCTTTATTTATAAAATTAACTCATTTTGGTTTACTCAACTTTCAGTGATGATCGTTTTCAAGCTATTAATAGTGACCTTGAAGAAACACAAGGATTAATGCAACAAAATATTCAAGATATGACAAGAAATATTGCTACTGCTGAAGAACTTGAAGGACAAACTGGAGATATGGTTGGTCATGCTAATGACTTTAGAAAAGCATCTACTGATTTAAAGAGAACAATGTGGTGGAAAAATATGAAATTATGGCTTATAATTGGAGGTGTTGTTGCTGTTATTGTTATTGTGATCATCATTATTATTATTATCATTGCTAAGTCAGGTTCTAATTAAATGATAATCATTTAAATTAATTTTATGTTTTACTATCATCATCATCCCCACTTTTTGATGACACATCTTGTCTTAGTCTTGATTTCTTTTTACCTGTTAATGGAAGATTAAATGTTGTTGGAAGTGGACCTTGTGCAGCAGTTTCAGGAAGAATAGTTGGTAAATTATCAATCTTCTTATAACTATCAATATCATTTTTGTTTACAATTTTAACTTTCTTTTTTTGTTCTTTTTTTAGTGTTTGGCTTTCTTCTTGTGATGTAATTGGTTGAGATAATTGAGATTGACTTTGTTTTGTTGTACTTTGTGACTGACTTTCGTTTTGTAGTTTTATAAGTGGATTTGTTTTTAACATTTGTTGTTTTTTGTTAATATCTTCATCTTTTGATTTGCTTACTTGATTTTGTTGTTTCTTTCCAAAAAAAACTGTAAATGTTTCTGGTTTCTCTGTGTCATTTGGTGTTTTAATATCACTACTGTCTGTAACACTTTTAGTTTCTTTCTTATCTTTTATTTTTTGTTCACTTTTATCAGTTACAGCAGTGAAAATTGTTTGATTAGATTGTGCTTTACTCCTCGGTGATAATACTGGATGATTGTCTGGGATTGATGCTGATTCTGTTTTAGGTGTTGGACTGGTTATTATTGGAGGAGCAATCGAAGAACTAAATTGACTATGAGAACTACTTAGTTGTTCCTCATTGTTTTGCAATGAGAAAGGTTCTTGAGAACTTGTAGAATGATTTCCATTTGTACTTGGAGATGATACAATTTTTTGTGATGTTAGTGGTGTTGTTTGGTATTGTGGTTCAAATAGAGTAGTGGTGTCAATTGAGTGTGCTCGTCTGACTCGTTTTTGTTGTGTTGAAGTAGTCTCTTCAACTGTTTGATGTTCTGTATTAGAGTGTGGTGTATTTGGTTGTGTTGTTGATAATGCTTTAACTTGTTTTGTTGGAGAGTTTTGTTTAAGATGTGGATTTGATGATGATTCTTGCGACTGGGTGAATTGTTGACTAGAAAAAGAAGAAGGAATTCGGTTCATTTCTGACTCCAGTGCAGCTGTGTTCATCCGAAGTTTGTCTATACTTTGACGTTGGATTTCCAATTTAAGTTTTAATTCATCAATTTGATTAAAGATTTTGTCATAAAAATCATCTTCTTTTGAAGTCAAGACAGTATTAATATAATCTTCTACTGCAGGGTATGTTTGTAAATTAAAAAGAAATTGCTGATTTTGTTGCATGATAAAGAATTTGAATAGAAATCTTTTTTTTTAGTTTTAAGATAATATCATTGAAAAGAACTTGAAAAAAACATTTAATAAAATATATGGATAATAGTGATAGTAGTGATGGGTTTGAAGACTCTTCTATAAATACAAACCTATATCAAATTCCATGTACAAATGAAATACTTGTTGATTCACATAAAAGAACTACAACAAGTATTAGTTGTGAAAAAAATGGAAATAGATTTTTAAGTGGAGGAAATGACTGTAAAGTTCAATTGTTTGATTTTACTATTATGGATTCACGTTTCTTACCTTTTCGAGAGCTTCAAAGTTTTGAAGGTAACATAATTAATTCAATTTCTCATTCATTTAATGATCAATTATTTATTACTGGAACTTCAAACGTACAAATTAAGTTATTTGATAGGGATGGACGATTTAAGATGGGGTCTAAGAAAGGGGATATGTACATTGTTGATTTAAAGAAAACATTTGGACATACCAGTGAAGTTACTCAAGTTCAATTTTCCCCAAATTGTGAAAACGAATTTATTTCAACATCTGTTGATGGGACATTAAGAATTTGGGATGTTACTACAATGGAAACATCACAGAAAGAAGTTATTAAATTGTTTAAAGGAAAAAGGTCAGCTGGGACATCTTGTAATTATAATTCTTCTGGTAATTTAGTATGTGTAACTCATGATAATGTAATTGATGTATTTGATACTAAAATACCAAAAACACATCCTATTTATTCATACCAAACAAATTTATCATATCATACATCTGTTCAATGGTATTGTAATGACACAATGATGATTACAAGAAATAGTGATGGTTTATATATTTTTGATAATAAAATAAATAAATGTATTAAACATCTTGAAGTAAAATGTCCAACACTTCATAATAATGTTATTGTTAGTCCTGACAACCGATTTATTGTGTATTGTAATGACACTCATCTTCAATTCATTAATTCATCCAATTATGAATTGTGTGATGAAGTTGAAATAGAAAAAGGAACATTTATTGAATGGAATGATTGTATCAACCAAATCTTTGTTGGAGATGATACTGGTCATATTCATATATTTTTTGATGACACACTAAGTAGAAATGGATGTTTATCTTGTAAAGATAAATTCATAGAAAATTTACCACAACAAATCAAGGATATGAATATAATCAAACAAAAACCATATCATCATAAAAAATACAAACATAAACGACAAAAAGAAAATGCTATTGACTTAGAATATAAACCATTATATAAAGATGAAGCCAATGAATCATTTAACTCTACTATTCAATTAAAACAAGATTTTACTCGTTTGTTTATATCTTACTAATTATTTTATTAGAAAATTAATTCTATAGTTGTTGACCCAAGAAAAGCACTATTTAAATATAATACAGACCAACCAGAATTAATAAAGAAAGAAACTATATTACAAGAAATAAATGAAAGTGATGAAGATGAATATCAAATAAAAAGAAAATTAGATTAAATCTTATTTAATATTTATTTTAAACTAATGAAAATATATAATGAATTATTTCAATTAATAATGATGAAGAAATACTATTTCTTTTAATTTCATTAAATTTGTATCAATCAAATTGAGATAATACCTTGAACGAATCTTCAAATCTATTTCTTCATCTTCTAAACATTTTTTTGTTATTTCTTTTAATATTGTAGAACATCGTTCTTTATTATTGATAAATCCTTTAACACTAGCTGTTAATAATGATTGTTTATTTTGTAATGTTAAGGTTTTCCAATGTTCTATTGCTTGAATAAATATATCTAAATTGAAACATTCTTCATATTCTCCACAAATATAAAAAACATGAGTAATATCTTCTTCATCACATTCAAAAATACTTTCAGCATCATCAAACAAATAACTAATATATTTAATTTCATCAGAGGTAATATCATTATAATATTCTATTAATCGAGCTATTCCTGAAAACAACTTGATTTCTACACATCTTCTTAATGGTTTATTTAATAATTCAACAAACGAAGAAATTACAATATCAGCATTTTCTCTAGATTGATATCCTAATTGAACTAATCCATCAACAATATATTTTTGAATAGTAGTATCTAATATTAATGTTTTAAAATGTTTCATTAATTTTAGAAGTCTTTCTGTTGTTGTATTAATTTGTAAAATTTTCATTTTAAGCATTACAATTTCTTCAGGGTCATTATATGTTGGAATAATGATTGATGAATTCTTAAAAAATTGATTATATTTTTGAGTGATTGATAATATCCCATTTAGTATTACACTAACTATTTGTGCATTGACTGTAGAATAATAATTATAAAGTCCAGTATATCCATCTGTGGCTCTTTGAAGAATATCATTTGTATATGTTTCTTGTTTAATGAATTTTTCACTAATATATAAGAATAGTTCAATTGTTTCCATTACTGATGCTGGGTCTAATGAATCAATAAATTCATCAAAAGCATTCATAATATGTTCAACATCTGAATATTCCATTATTTCACAATTTCTTAATAACATTGCTGCTTCTGCAACTTCAATAGGTTGAAGTCTCTTAATCATTCCAAGAATATGTTCAATATTCTTTTTGGTCATTGTAACTTTTCCATCATTAATTTCTTTTAATATAATTAAAGCATCTAATGAAATGGATGGGTCATTATCTAATGTTAATCTAACTACTTTGGGAATAAAATCTGTTTTTGGTCTTGTCGTTATAACTTTATCTTTAAAAACTTTACCTAACGCCATTAATGAGCATCGTCTTACATATGTATTATTATCATCCATTAATCTATCTATTTCATCATATAAATGTTCTCTTACTGTATCAACTTCAAAATTAGACATACATCTAATTGCTAAACCTCTTACAATTGGATTACTATCCCTACAATCTTTATAAAATGTATTAACACATAAAATTGATAATTCAGGATATTTTTCTGAATATGTACAAAGATACATATATACCATTTTCTTTAATTCAATATCATCTGTTTCACATGCCTTTTATATATATTAATACTAAATTTTTTTTTAACTTTGTGAATAAATAAAAACAAACCATAATAACATCAGCAAATAATGGTGACATGTCAACCCCTCTTGTTGATTGAATTATAATATTTTGAATAACAGATTTTGTTTCATCAATGTTTCTTGATGAAATGGCTGATTGTAATTTATTTTGATAATTTTTAATTTCTCTTTTAATCATAAAAAGAATAAAGTAATTATTGAGATGGTTATTATCCAGTTTCTTAAAAAAATATATTGTCATCTTCACTTCAAACAATTTATTTAAATTAATGTTTATATTTGTCTTTCAATTGAACATTCAGACATTATACTCAATTTAGTTTCATTTCTACATTCTCTAATTCGGTGTTTACTTGAATCAACTTCTTCATAATGAATGATGTAATACATTCTTTCATATTCATTACCAACGCTATATGTTGAATTAAATTCAGTTGAAAATTCTTCAGCAAGTTTTGATTCCATTGGTTCATGAAAACTCTCCCCTTTCTTTTTATATTGACTAACTACAGTATATTTCAATTCATAAAAATACATTAATCTTATTAAATTTCTTTTAAAATAAAACAAATGATTCTTTAAAGAAAATTTGGACTAATTCAATTTAGTTCTTCTTTTGGTCGTCCCATTCAGTTGAAGCAACAGTAGCATCACTAGCAGCTTTCTTGTCTTCGACTTTGGCAACTTTTTCTTCACCAGCAATAACTGGAGCATCTTTCTTAGCATCAAGTTCTCTATGAAGGAAAAGATCAACCATAACATCCCACTTTTCGTCTCTAGCAAGTTTTCCTTGATATCTAAGGATTTCTCTAGTTAACATCCACCACATAAGACCAATTGAAAGTCTTGATCTGTTATTGCATGGAATAGCAATATCAACGTTCTTAAGACTGTTATCAGAATTGCAGAAGGCAATGGTTGGAACATTAATGTACCCTGATTCTCTAAGTGCTTGATGATCAACAGATGGATCTGAAACAATAATAAGTCTTGGTTCCATGAATTTCTTTTGAATTTGATTAGTGAATGATCCTGGTGTGAATCTTCCAGCAACAGCAGTACATCCAGTGTATTTCATGAATTTAAGTGATGCTCTGTGAGCCATCTCACGTCCAGCAACAGCAACTACATCAGATGGGGTTTCATTTGAAATACCTGCAATGACACGAGCAGCAAGTGAAAGTTTTTCCCAAGTCTTCATGAGATTGAAGATACATTCATTGTTGTTTCCTCTTTCATAAACATATTCTTCCATAGCAAAGTTTAAGTTAGTAGCTCCAATATGAACACGGCAAGCAACCATCATTTTAATATCTTCAGCGGATGGTTTGAGAATGTCTGGGAAGTTAGTTTTGACGTTCTTGCTCATGAAGTCTCAGATTTTGAAGAGAAGAGAAGGTTTAAATAGTCAAGAGGGTTAGAATGATAAGATAAATTATAATTTACTATAATTTTATTATATTCATATAATAAAAAGTAATATAATAAAAAATAGAATAATTTATTATGATAAGTGATAAAAAGTTATTTATGAAAAAAATGCAAGAAAATAAAAATAGAATAAAAATAGTTCAGAAGGAGATAAAAATAGGAATAATCTACAAATTAAATAAATGATTTCAACGAGTCTTGTAAAAACATTTGTACTTGCTAAACAAGAAGAAAAAAAACTTACAATGGAAGAAGAAGCAGAACAAAGAGCCATTAATGAAATAGAAAGATTATTTGGTTCTGATAAATCAACAGGAACTATTAATGAAAGAGAGATAGAAGCATTAGAAAAATCAGAGTCATTAGATGCAAGATTAAAGACAAGAATTCAAGAAGAGTTAGAAGGATTTTCTATTGGATTAAAATTACTTGAAAAGTCTCAAGAAAATGCAACAGAAATAGATAAATTATCATTAGAAATTGCAGATATTTGTCAAGCATGTGATGATTTATTTCAAAATTACGCACTTGTTAAAGAAATTACTACAATTAAAAGAAATTTAAAAGAAGTTATTGAAACAGTCAAATATTTAAAATGTTTAAAAGATAAAGTTAAAGAAGTTGAAGAATTGTTAAAAGATGAACAAAATTTATTAAGAGTTCATTCAATAGTTCGTACATATGAAATGTTAAGATTAGCTATTGAAAAACAAATTAGAAAATTTGGACTTCCATATACAGCTGATGTTGATCCATATTTTCAACAAATTACACAAATAAGACAATTATTAACACAATCTATTGATGATATTTTTGAAGAATTCATTGAAAGAGCAAATAAAAGACCAGAAATTTTAGTTAAAATAGCAGTTATTACAGAAAGAGATAGAAGAGATAGAGAATTAATTAAACAACAATCTAAAGTTGAAAATTCAAAAATTCAACAATATGAATATGATGGTGTTGATTATATTCAAAAAATTCAAGGACTTGTTAAAACAGCTGCTGAAAAGTCTATTTACAAAAAATTTGAAATTGCTGATCAACCATGGATTAATACATCTCCTACTATGAAAAGTCTTCAAGACTATCTCGATGAACTTACTATCGCATCATTTGATGCTGATGCATGTTTCCCACCTGAATATCAAATTAAAAATATTTATCTTATGTCTACTACAACAAAATTATATGATTTATTTAAATTATGGTCTAATTCTGATCCTGACAAATTAGGTGGAACTGTTATTGCAAATACTACTATTATTTCATTATTAAAATGGGTTACTGATGACTTCTTACCAACAATGACAAGAATTGGTGTTCCTTCTGATTCAGTACCTAATTTTTATGAAGCTCTTCGTGGAGCACAGTTACAATATCGTGAAAGAATTAGAGGAAAAATGTTTGAATGGGTACCAAATATTGCTAAAGAAGATGTTAAGCAAACACCATCAACAATTAATAATTTATTATATACTACAGCTCCAGTAGATTTATTTGGTATTGTAAAGGAACAAATAGAAATTGCTAAAACGTCAAAGAATAGTGATTTTATTTATGAAGTAGTTAATGCATTAGTTACTCCATTAGAATTATATTCTACTGTTGTTAGTAAACAATTAAAAGATAGTCTTACATATAATAGATTAACTGAAGAACAACAAGAAGAAACAGAAGATGTTTCATTACCTCTTGGATATGTTATTTCAATAATTAATAATTCTAATGCATGTATTGAAAAAACAGAAGATATGTTATCAAAAGTTACTGAAATTATTGGAACAGAATTAGCAGATAAATTTGATTTTTCTACAGTTATAGGTTCATTTGATAGATTAATAGATGAAGCATGTATTTATATTAGAGAAACTATTATGGATGATTGTGAAGTAAAAATTAAAGACTTGTTTGAAGATGAATATTATGGAGATGATGATTGTATAGAGATGATTGCTGGATGTATTCAAGAATATGCATCTTCAGATTTACAACCAAATTTATTAAAAATATATGTAGAAGATATTGTTGATAAATGTGTTGTTGATTTAATTAATAAATACATTACTCAATTAATTACAAAGAAACATAAATTTAATCGTAAAGATAGAACTAATACAGGAGATATGATTGCAAAAGATTCAGAAACAATAAATTCTTTCCTTCAAGACTTTGTAAATAAGAAAAAATTAATGGGACATCTCAATGTATTAAGAGGATTTTCTCAATTATTAAAAGAAGAAGCTGATTCAGTTAGAAGTGGGTATAATATTATTTTACAAGACTATAAAGATTGCCCTGTTGAAATTGTTAGATTTTTAATTTCTGAACGTGATGACTTTGGGTCAAGTGATAAAGACACTGCTTATGAAGGTTTACAAAATGTTTATGACCAATTAAATGTTGATTTCTCACGTATAAAACCAACTATCTTTAGTACTCTTCAAATACCATCAAAACTCAACTTCATTAAGCCAAAATAATTTATAGTTTTTGATGTTTTCTCTTTATCCTCTATGTTTTCTATGAAATAACGAAAAAAAAGGGTTTTTGGTAGAAAAGAAAACGTAGTTGCTCTATTGAAGTTTTTGATACTTTTGTCCAAAAAGAACTACAAAATTCATTGAAGAACAAATGGACACAAACGACTCTGAATGGGAACAAGAACTTTTTGATGACCACTTTACAACTGTTCTTAATCTCTTCCTTGAAAGAATTAAAAGTGACCCTTCATTTACTATGGAAGAATTACAAAAGTATCTTGACCTGGCTTATCAGAACCAAGACGATAATTGGATTGGAAATGGTCGTGTGTTAGCAATCAAAAATAATGCTCGTGTTGCTGCATTAGAAATGGTTATGACTGAATGGAAGAAAGTAATTGAAGAAGAAAGAGCAGCTGGTAAAATTCCTGAAGGTGTTGAATTTTAGTGGTTCTATTGAAAAATGTTTCTTTTAAAATCTTTGGTTTTTTTTTAGTTGAGTGTCGTTAGTTTTATTCTTTTTTTATTTCTTTTTGGATTGTGTTAATTAACTTCTTTTTAATCTGTTTATATTATAGAAATAAAGTTCAGATAATTAAGTAGTAGTTCAACATTTATTCATTCATAATTATACGTTATTAATTAATTCTGTAGTAAAAAAGATTTTTCTTTTAGTTTAGTTTGAGTGACATAAAAAAAGAAAATAAATTATTAACTATTCCAGAAGTATTATAAATATATTCTATGTTTATAACTTAAACAGAGAGATAATAATATTATAATACATTCCAAGAAAATATAAACTTGAAAGGGTATTAAGATGAAAGATAAATTGCCAAATAATAATCAATTTAACTTACATAATTAAATGTTTTTTTTTATATTAAAGAAGAAAAAACAATAAAATAAAAAAAAGTACTAAACTAAGTTTCAATAAATATTGATTTTTCTATTTAATTTTAGTTATTAAGACTATTTCATTAACTCTCTTCAGAGTCTTCTTCATGAGTTATTTTTATATCTCTATATTCACCTTCTTATTCACCAATTTATTTCATTAATTCTTTCATTGTATCTTTTACCTTTATTTACTTGCAATTATAATGTTTTATTCTTTGATTATTCTTATTGTTTTTTATCGGCTATTCCATTTATTGTCATTATTATTTAAATTCATTTTATTTTAATCTATTAGTTTGTCTTATTTTGTGTTGATGAATTTTATCTCTTTCTACTTTATTAATAAATTCAATATTTATCTTTTTATCATTTCTTGTTATTTGTTTTATTTTCTGTATAAATGGAAGATCCTTTTCCAATGCAGGAAATACAACAAATTTTAATGCCATGGCTATTGTGTAAAACCTTAGAGTCTTGTAAAGAAAAGCAAACAAGACATAGAAATCCAAGGTCATACAATAAAAAAAGAAATGTCAATAGCAATAAATGGCATAACAATTATAATAATAAAGGTAAACGATACACCAAGGAAAAAGGGTTTAGAAGACGAAAGACACAAAGAAAAACAAATAAAAAACAAGGTAAATACAATAATAATAAAGATTATACAAATAACAAATACAAATGGCTAACAATAAATGAGATACAAGAAAGAATAAAAAAAATAACAAGTGAATGGAAAGAAGGAGAATACGAAGAAATACTTAAAAAATATGAAGGTAAGAAGAAAAAATGGTATGATAATCAACAAGAAGTATATTCAATTAAAAAGAAAAAGATAATTGAAAAGACGAAAGAAGAGTTTAAAGAAAAAACAAAAGATTGGGAGGAAAAAGACATTAAGGCTATAGAAGCAGAAATTAAAAACAAAAACCCAATTAAAGAAATGAATGATAGATGTAAAATTGCAAGAATAATAAATGAAACAGAAAGTATAAAGAAAATACAAGAAGAAACAAAAAATAAAGAAGAAAAGATAGAAGAAGAAAAAGAAAAAGAAGAAATACTTTCATTGAAAAATCAAATTACTGAATTACAAGGAAAACTTAAAGAATTAAGTATGAAAAGAATGGAAGAAGAACAAGCCATCTCAGAAGAAATGATGAGAAAAGCAAAAGAAATAGTTAGGAAAGAATTTGAAGAAGAAATTACAGAAATGAAAACACAAAATAGAAAGATTCAAACGAATTATGAAGAAATGAAGAAAGAAAATGAAAAATTAGAAGAAGAAAACTTAAAACTACAAGGAAAAATAAACGAGATAGAAGGAAGAAAAATCACAGAAGTAAATAATAAAGAAGAAAAAATCCTTGTATCCAAGCTAATAAAAAGAAGATGGAAAAAGAAAATGAAGAAATGAAAGAAGAAATTGAAAAGTTGAAAAAGAGAAACAAAATGCTAGAACAAAATGCAAACACATTAGAGAAGAAAATTGAAATGATAGAGGAAAATACTAAAGAATTAAAGAAAGAAATAAGAGATAAAGAAAAACAAA